GTTCAGGGGGAGTGGCTGTACTCGTAGGATAGAAAAGGGGGAAGTGACGTCTGACTCAGAGGTCGCGCGGCTGTGGAGAAGAACGTGTTGCCCACATTCTGTTACTGAGTTTAGGCTAGTTAGCTAGCAGGTTTATTGTTTTGGGTGCAGTCACTTTTGCCTCCACTTGCTGTTCAAATATATGTTGAAAGAAAAAGTAAATCTGTTCATATGGGTGTTGAGAGATGTATCCATAGATTTAGTCCCTAATGATGCTCTCAAAGTGCACCAGATTGATTTAACTTCAACATTTAAAAAAGAATCCTAGAGGAGGTGAGGTCCACCACCTGCCCACACCCCCTGTTACATTTTCTCACCCACATTGAGGATGCTTCCTACGCCCATGTTTTATTCCATGTATCAAGTCAGGCAAATTGGGTCCAAATGTTATTGCATAAATGATCTGTTAACATTAAAATCACTAAATATACTGTAAATATTTTTGCTCTATAGGCAACTCAAGGGCTCAGGTAATGTGATTACTATATGAATAATGGTCCAAAATAACATTAAATGCATAGGGTTTTTTGATAAGTAACATACTTTCGTCGCCGGCCGGCCGATACATGCTACGCATTAAGTGGGCCACTTTTTCCCCCCAGTCCGCCCCTGCCCCCCAGTACCGGGGGGAAAAACGCGTCATCTGCAGGAATAAGGTTAATCCATAGGTTAATCCAATGTGTCTGTCATTTTGAAATGATTTCTGATAATCCATAAGCAATAAACCTGCTTTTCCGTTTCCAGATGTCAGAGCGAGAGATAGGTTCGCTCTCATGCAAAACTGTGCGCGCATAGCTCTCATTTCTCGATGGTAACGTGTGTGTGTATGTGGAAATTCCCCTTCGATTCTATTGGCTCTAAGGGTCAAAAAGAGATGTCAATCTCCAAAATCGACCAATGGATTCCAGAGAAACGGTAAAAACGGCCATTTCCACCCAAATCAGTTTGTTTTTCTAAATCTCTCTAAAAAGGTCAAATGTCACTTGTTTTGCATCAATCTTGATACAGGGTACTTATTATATGTTGTACTGTGGATTCCTAAAGCTTTTAGTCTACCTTACCATCGTCCAAGGGTAGTTTTCACTATAAGTAAAAAATAATTTTTGGACGGACACTATAGTTTACAGTTACCATGTTCAATCTGAATTTTCTTTAAAATAAAAAACATCTATATTGATTTGGACTCTTCTACCTCCAACTCACAGGTTTATCATTACTTTGAAAACAAGATTATTAATTTCCCCCTTTTTAGAAGGGAATATATGGTCATTTATTCTGCAGAAGTCATTTTCGAGCCTGAGACCTGAAAAACAGGCTGAGGGCTTAACAGGTTAAGTGTTGTGAATAGATGTTTCCTTTTTGTTTAACACATATTTAATAGTCTAGTGTGTTGTATTTTTAATTTTTATATGAGAACTGTTATGAAAAGGTGTGAAAACAATGAGAAAGTGTGAATTTGCAAGAGAATAATTCTGCTGAGCTAAGAAGGTGATGATGAAAATCAAATGGATCCCAGCTTCACAAGCATGTCTAGCAATTAAACAAAAACTGTCATTGTCTTTGATTTCTTTACTCAAACACCTCAGATAACAAATTGATCCAACAAGCTTTTGCATTTACATTTTACCATTCTGAACTAAATTGACGAGATGGATAAATTGACTTTACAAAAAGCCAAGGTAAGAAAATATAAAACCCTGACATAATATAGATTTATGGAGATGATATGTCAGCTGTCAAACCTCTACAGTTGACATGACACGGCAGTATTGATATTTATGTTGATGTTTACATGCGGTGAGAGGAAATGCCAACAAATGCAGATGACTCTTCGTGAGCTACATTCAAAAATGGTTCACAACAGATGGCAATGAAGGGCACATCTGCGGGCACTTCTGCTGATTTAGTGTGTGTGTGTGTATGTGTGTGTAAATGCATCTGAATATGTGTTTTTTTGTATGTATCTACGTCATCTTGGAGATAAGGCTGCTTTGAGGCCGACCTCAGGAGGGCGAGGACAGGTGGAGGCGGAGAAGAGGATGACAGAATACCAGAGAGAGGCAGAGCGACAGACTGTGACAGATAAAGAAGGACAGCAGGCAAAAAAAAAAAGTTAGCCTCTAAGTGAAGGAGATATGGGGTCCATCCATGAAAAGAAGACGAGGCGAGAGGCGAGGCAGGGGTTGTAAGGACAGCCGACCGAAACGGATACTCTTGGGGACGAAAAGACGAGAAAGGAAGAGACAGAGAGAACAGGAGCCCTTATGTCACTCTGAAGAGGACACGTCTTCTGTCTGACCTTTTCAGACAAATTAACACCCCTCCATCCTCCCTCCTTTAGAGACCTTTAAAAGAAGTGTCCTCTGTGGCTCCCCCTAGCTTTTCATTTGGGTTGTCCAGCTCTTGTGTTTTAGAAATATTTGTGAGGAAGGGCTTCGGCTCGGACCTCTTGACCCCCTGCCCTCCCTTAATATTACTTTGTAAAGCTCCTACACTAAAAAAGCTGAATTGTTTACTTTAATTAATTGTATTAGGTCAAAGAAATTACACATAATTGTTTTTAGGTTAGTTGAAAACAATAATTTTAATAATAAATAAAAAATATTAGGTTCAAATTAAACATATTATTCAACTCACCTAAGAACATTTTGTGTAATATGCTGACAAAATAAATGAAATTAAAGTCAATGTTTCAGTTTTTCAGTGTACTGATGCTGCACTTCCAGTTGTCACATGCATGAAGGCGTAAATGACTTCTGTGTATTCTGTTTTTTCTCTCTGTTTGCGACACTATTTAGTATTCATCTTACAGGTGAGCCCTTGGTCTTTTCTAAGCCCTTTCCCTCCCCATGTTTACAGTTTGTGTGTCATTTTGAAGAGGACACGCCTTCTGTCTGACCTTTTCAGACAAATTAAGACCCCTCATCATCCCTCCGTTTGAGATCTCCCCCGACCTTTAAAGAAAGTGTCCTCTGTGGCTCCCCCTAGCTTGTATTTGGGGTTGTCCAGCCCTTTTGTTTTATAATTATTGGTGAGGAAGGACATTGGCCCTGACCTCTTGACCTGCTGCTGTCCACTGGGAACTTTTACTATAAAGCTCCATACTGTTGCTTCAAACTGTTTAAAATGTTCCCCTCATCTAATGCCTCCCAGCGTTGACAGTTCTTCCAGTTGTCACACAACCATAGTGGCGTGACTACCAAATGACTTCTGTGTACTTTATGTTTTTTTCTCTGGTTGCAACATTATTTAGTATTCATCTTACAGGTGAGGCCTTGGTCTTTTCCGAGCCCTTTCCCTCTCCATGTTTACAGTAATCCGCTGAGCCTGCAGTTCCTTCCATCATCAGACATTAATGTATGCGACTATAACAGGAATACTCTGGCCCATTGCCTCAGAGCACAGCACTTGTTACAGAACTAGAGTTGGTCCTCGGGGCAGCGCTCTGACTGTCAAATGCAGAGGACAAATTTCCCCGTGGGAGTCAATTAAGTATTTATGCACAACTGGATGCATAATAATCAGAGTCATTGTTGGTTGCAAGGGTTGTAACACTGGCTGCGTGTATATATAGTTTGTTGTTTACAAAGATATAAATACACATGCATTTTTAAATGCTTATTACAATAACATTGGGGGCAAATGGATTTATTTCACGTCACCGGTAGCAGTCAGCCCATATATTGTTTGCCATCAGTGCCACACATGGGCATTATGTCATTGCTAAATTAATGCCATAAGTGCCTGATTATTCTGCTATGCGTGTACATTATATCCATATCCACTTGTCTACACTCATACACACAGAGTAGCATGTGTATTTTCATGATGAAGAGCTAATCCCAGTTTGCTCTTGAACAGTTCCCTCATCATGCTGTGGCAAATGCTGACTGGTGAATATAGCACTGCTGCTCTCTGTGGGACAAACTATGCAATTACATGTTCTATTATAGAATAGAATAGAATCGGAGGGATGAAACCCTCTTTAATGGTCACACATGCAGAGCACACAGCACACACAGTGAAATTTGGCCTCTGCATTTAACCCATCCTACCAGGAGTCTAGTACTAGGAGTAGTGGGCAGCTATTGTACAGCGCCCGGAGAGCAATGAGAGTGGGGGGGAGGGGGTTGTCCGGTGCCTTGCTCAAGGGCACCATGGCAGGGCCCAGGAGGTGAACTGGGACCTCTCCAAGTAGCAGTCCACACTCCATATTTAGGTCTGTTCGGGGACTTGAACCAGCGACCCTACGGGTCACAGTCCAAGCCCAAGGAAGTCACACATCCAACTACAAACAGGTGCCAGACTGAAAGCTATGAAAATAGAACACTATTATACCAGTGTTTTCCTGTATTATTTTAGACTTTTCATTAAAGCTGTCAGTTGATGGTGTTGTTGTGGATCCATTTTGCTTTGATTTGCTGATATGTTAACTATACACGCAAATCACACGTTTGCGTCATGGGGCTTTACTACTCTACAGGATAACACAGTCCTGTTTCAACCCACAATTCAGGAAAAACTCCCCAAACAAATCCCATTTCCAGGACATACAGACATGTAATCGGCTTCACCACAATACAATGTACACAATACAAATGACATTCAGTATAATAACACGTTAAAGTTGAAGATAAATCAAAAAGAAGAATTTAGGAGGATTAGTCTTCCTCATAGCTATTTCTGACTCCACCTGTCTGATGTGGATTCATATTAGGCTACTGTAATGTCCTGCCTCCTAATAAAATGGCATACAAGCTGCCATAACGGCTGCCATTTTACTGTCTGTGGTCTAAAATGCCCACTTACATTTACCTGAATTAATTGTAATATTCCTTTAGGGTAGTAACTTGTGTTAAGATCAAAGACTGTATGTTAAGATGTATACAACTGTACTGTACAGTGCTGTTGATAAGAAGAGACGACACTATCGCGATACGTCATTAAGTCTCGCGTTAGTACACACATCTCATTCGAGACAAACTGGAGGGATTTCTGAGTCTGCAGTGTGTGTAGCTAACAGCTAACAGAGAAACAATAACTTATCTACGGATTCTCTTCATCTGTAAGGTAATGACACATGCTTCTGAGCAATAGGTAATAACAACGTAAATGCTAATGGTTCCTTTAACGGTGTTAGCAACTTCTGAATTGCTGTAGAAAGTTCACTCACTTTAAATGTAACGGTAGCTACCTAGCATTACAGGAGCTAAAACAACACTGTAAACAACTAAACACAAAGATAGCAACGCACAATTGCCAGGACAACTTTAATATTTTGAATGCACATTTGTTTTTATTTGTAGCTACTAGCTTAGCTTGGATAACTTGTAGTTGTTGTTTGTGATAGTGAGCAAAAGCCAGTTACAATTAACGTTATATAACTATATTCTATTTAACATAGATTTGACTATTTTTGCTATCTTTAATATGTGTCTTTATGACACTAATTAAAACACACAGAAAGCTAGGAGATATGTAAGGCATATATACAAAGCTAGGGGACATTATTTGGTCAGACAAATACATTATTAGAGCTAAACAAATTCATTGTCCCGATATCTTTGCTATCGGCTATTTATTTAACGGTAGCCAACTGCTAGCCTATACAATTTTAAAATGAGCTGATAAACCTGACTAATGGTGTATATTTACATATTTAAACCTAGAGAAGTTAAAGTAAACTGTGGATCTTACAAAAAAGGTCGAGCAAAAAAACTAGGGATTAAATAAACTGGCTAGAGTCACCAAAAAAATGGTCCTTAGATGCTTTTATTAACAGCCAAAAATGCTGAAAGACACAAAGTAACAAGGATTTACATAAAGAAAACACATACATATATTAATATATATATATATATATTTTTTGTAAGATCCACAGTTTACTTTAACTTCTCTAGGTTTAAATATGTATATATACACCATTAGTCAGGTTTATCAGCTCAAGCATATATATAATATATAATATATATATAAATAATATATATATTATATATATAATATATATATTATATATTATATATATATAATATATATATAAATAATATATATATTATATATATAATATATATATTATATATTATATATATATTATATATGTGTATGCATGCATGCATGCCGCGGACATAGGACTGGTACCTCTCTGCTCTCCTGCCAGTCAGACTACTTCCCAAAACACTTGTGGCCAGGGTTTTATACATGTTAAGCCCCTCCCCATAGGACAATCCACTATTTATACCCCTAACCAATGTAATTCTTAACTACAAACACATTCACAATGCAAGGCAAATGACCCAAACACAACAATCAAATAGGTCAACATATTCTATCTTTCTGACCACAGAAGCCTTAAACAATAACATTTTTATACTTGCAAGAAAATTGCCGCCCGTGCCCATGCACTACATGGTATACTCCAATTGAGCACAGGTGTTTTCACTGATTGAGCCTCTACTTAAGGCTGCTTCTTTCTATTGCTCTGTTTGGCCTTCACAACCTTGAACGAGAGGGTAAGCAGGTTACTTGTATAGGACTTCCAATAAATCTGTTTTGAACAAATAATGATTTGGGTTTTATTTGATCAATGTCCAGCTAAGTTATTAATGTGTTTCCCTCAGTGTGTCTTTTACCATGCCCCTATGCTAACTGTGATGAAGGCTTCTTCTTCACAGTGGACATTGTACTACAATATAATAATATTACAACACAAATGCAGAAAATTATAAATAAGATACATGTATAGTAATCAGAAATGTACAGTGAAATTCAGGAACAAAGCCAAAGTGGTGTTCTTTTTGCACAGTATAGTATTGCACAGGTTATTGTAGGTATAGTCCAAATTGCACAGTTTAGGCCTAATAATGGGGTGTTAAGGGGTCTTTAAGAGGGGCGAAATAAGTCCAAGGGCAAGTCTAGAGTGTTAGCTATTGTAGATATTTTTTGTGTGTAGTGCTGCTACTTCTACTTTATACTAAGTGCCAAAATAAAACGCATTGTTATTTTATAAAACAATTAGATTATTTCTAGCATTATTTAATTGAACAAATCAAATGTCAAACTGAACACAAAAAGCACAACAAAAGAATGATGGTTACATTTAAAGTGCAGTTTTATATTGATAATCTCTTTCAATAATCTCTGAAAATTCCTGAGTGCAATAGAGCAGTCTTTTGTGATAAGCACATACCAGAAGACAGCGGTAAAAAAAACCTGTATAGTCAGTTGTTTCTACTAGTATGTTTTGTTACGTATTCTTCTTTCTGTGTCTTTGTATGCACCACATATACCAAAGCAAATATCTTGTATGTGTTAACCTACTTGGGAATGCAACCGATTCTGATAACTTTAAAAACTCTTGCTTTTATCTCTGAATCTTCCATTTGTGCCCTACCACACCAGACTCATGATGGATTTAGAAGATGACACTTCTGTGTTAACAACCTTGAAGTCCTTCAATTCCTTCATCAGCCACACTGAAGCTCCACAGCGGCTGTCAGAGGGCTCAGCGGGGAGTGGGAACCTGCATAGTCAATACAAACGCAGCATGGAGGTAGGCAGAAACTGACGGCATCAACACTAAACTGTGAAGGTGGTATTAACATGCGACCTTGTTCACTTACTGACTTGTCTTTCCATTTAGTTGTTGGAAGCAGGAGAGAGGGTTCACTCCAATAATCGCTATCTTCAGTTGGACGGGGAGAAGAAGCAGATGGAGCTGAGTCACAAGCGAGCTCGATATGAACTTGAGAAGGTTGCTTCTGACAGCGCACGAGACTTGGAGGTACACACTGCGCCCATTGTTATACAATATATAGCAAGTATATTACTAAATATACAGTGGTGTATAGGAATAAATACAATTTTAAATGCTGAATTGCACAGTTTTAAAGAGTTTTCTGCTTATGGTAATAATTACAGTTTTTTTTCGATTGCTAAAACACATTTTTTGAAGGCAGTGCTTAGTTTCTCAAAACACTAAACACAATTCACAAAACCACACACGAAAAGTGCAAAACACCTCATATATCCTGCAAAATGAAGCACTGCACTCAAAACTAGATAAACACTTACCAAAATAAACTTTTCTCACTAAATGGCACACTCTTCATTTTTAGTACAAGACACTTGGTCCAACCAACTACACACTGTGGTGCTCAATCTATCTAGGGATGGGTACCGAGAACCGGTACTAAGTCAATACCGGTACCTGATTGGACGGTATCGGTATACCGTTAAGCCGCTGGACAAACGGTGCTGCTATCGGTATATGTGTTACGTCTACTTCCTTAGTTTAACTTTAAACCATTCTGGTTGGTTGGGAACCCCATAGATGTATAATAAGAACTGGATACAGCGTGGAAGGCGGGGCCTCATTCATTCCTATGAGAGTTGCTCATTGGTGCATGATGACAAAATGGCCCAACTTTTGAGAGTGAAACGTCACAGATTACCCGGCATGCCTGAGAAGTACCAGTATGTGCGCTCATAGAGCATGCGCAACTTTAACCACGCCCCCCAAAAGGCTCGTTCACATTAAGCACGTCAATTTGCGTTCTGGATTGTTATGATGGATTTGATATTAACGAATAACGAGGCGGCCGTGGCAGTTAGTAGCTAGCGGCTAGCTAGTGTAACGTCCGAGCCAATAGTAATTATGCTAATGTACACATAAATCGTTATGTACTTTTATATTACGCTGATGTAACAGGATCAAGTGATGGTTTTGTTCAGCATTGCCAGCTTCACTGTTGAGCTTTATGTTGTGCCCAGCATTCTCCTGTGCTCTGAAATCAAAATGTGGATAAGCATAAAACACTAAAATAAACATTACAATACAACTTGTTATTTGACATACACAAGGTTGTTCATTTGTGTGTATAAATATACAACACAAGCTATATATATATACATATACAAGTATAATTAATACAACTGTTAATTTGACTAGAGCTTTGACACATATATCTTTATTTATATATGTATAAGTATGACGACTTCCTCGGGCGATATCATATGGTATAGCTAATTAATCTGGGTCAAAACGTGTTGTGCCCACATGCAAAGGTTGTAAACTCTGGCTTATCCCTGCGTGGTATTATAGTAATAGCAAACAGCAACGTTCAACTCCTTTAATGGTATATTGCAAGTGCAATAAGAAGCTTAATACGTAATAACTAGGGCCGGGACTCGATTCAAAAAATTAATCTAATTAATTAGAGGCTTTGTAATTAATTAATCGAAATTAATCGCATTTTTAATCACATATAAATATTTGACCTGAGAACAGTGAGAAGCAATTTTTTTCACATGGATTTTAGTATACCATTAGGCCCATTCACACCGCAGTACTTTTCCCACAAAGGTTCATGAGAACTCTTTGAACCTGGGGGTGGATAGGCAAATGAAGCCGCTGACGTCACTTCTTCTTCTTCTGCTTTGGGTTTACTGGCAGGCCACAAACCACTTCACGGCGTATACTGCCGCCCAAAGTCCCCGGCCGGAAGTCCCCGGAGTTGGGGACTGGCTTCAGTAGAAGCTGCTGGGAGTCCCAGCAGCTTCTACTGAAGCCTTCCGAGTAAATCGCCAGAACGCCGACACCTCCTCATCTCCACCGCTCCCATGTTTTATTTTGTGTTGCCATAAATTAGTCTCTCTGCGTTTCTGCGCTGGGCTAATGCTAATAATGCTAATGCATGAAAAAAAAAATGGCGGCTTCACAAAACTTTTTGGGAGTTTTACGGGGCGTGGTTTGCAATCCGCCCAGCCAATCAGAAATATAGCTCTTTTCTCACAAGAGAGCGGTACGAAAGTCCCTGCTCTCTAGCAGCTCTCTAGCAGGGACTTTCGTGGGGGTAAAAAGGTTCACATGAACTAATTTTAGTTCCGGCTCTTTTTGGTGTGAACGCGATAAAAGAGGCTAACGTCCACGCTAGCTGCTATATGTTTTGCATTGAGGTGATACTTGAGGCTTGATGTGCTGCGGTGATATGCAAATTCCTTTTTGCATAATTTGCACACAACCGTGCTCTTATCGACGCTTCCATCCGTCCGTTTTTTAAAACAACATTTCCCACTGTTGTTCACTGTGGTTTGTTGTTGTCTGAAGTCATGAACGTTAGTTGGTGCTCCAGTATAATCGGTACGCCTGAAACTCATCCAGTGAGAAACGTTCCGCGGTGCAAAAATAAGTGCGATTAAAATGCGTTAATTTTTTTAACGCGTTAATTTTTGTGTAATTAATTAATCTTAATTAACGCGTTAAAGTCCCGGCCCTAGTAATAACGTTAATCTACGTCGGTAATATTAACTTTATTTAATACAAGATTTACATCATACAGCCCATGTAGTATAATATTTTACAAATGATGAATTAGAGCAAACATTGTGCAATATATCCATTATTACAGCTCCGTGTGCTGGCAGTAAGGCGATATGGGTTTGTTCTTATTGTGCATTCATGGGTAAATGTAAAACTCATGTAGTACTGAACACGTCACACTCACATTTACATGAACGTGCCTGGCGGCGCGGTTCCGTGGGTTGGATGCGCGTTCATAATGCAGAGGGAAATAACTCTCAGAATAGCGTTATTAGCACATTTTACAACTTGAGGAACGAATGTTTTTAATAAGGGCTATACAAGTGTTCATACTGGGTTGTTTATTTAGTTTAAAAAAAATTATCCAACGATTTACAGACCACTCTTTCCCCATGTAAGTCAATGGGAAAAAGTGTTTCCGGGCCTGGCAACCAAACGGAAGTGTAGTACCGCCGTTTGGCCAGCACGAATATTTTCATCTGGCCGTTTCTCAATCGCGAGGAAACTGGCTTCCCAGCCAATATTTCAAGGATACTACGTCATCGAGTGCCGCCAAAGGACTGTTCCAATCTCCAGCATACTTGGAATTCCACCGAGGCCGTGTCCTTGGTTTGGGGGTAATTTCGAGGCTGCACATGGGTAGACTTCGCGTCTTTCAAATCCCCACAATGCTTTGCGCACGGACCAATTTCCCCAAATCTGTGGAGGAAAATGTAAGGCGGGGCCTCTCATATGACGCACACCTGCACACTTGCTCGCCTGTTCCATTCTTCGTTTTCCGAATGCCAGGAAGGATTCTTGCCTAGCTTCTGAAGGAAGTGACTCGGAAGACATGTGCTACCAAACAGGCATCCTCGCGATTGAGAAACGGCCTCTGAGTCCGGCGCACTTCCAGGAGTCTTGGGGAACCCTCATCCCGTGTGATGTATCCGGTTTGAGACCCCTCTGATTGGCCACTGTAAATGCCACTCGTCATCTCTCTCAACAGCGCTCTTATAGGCTCTGTGCACAAGATGGCGTCTATCAACTTCCGGCGGCTGGGTGTGAGGCCGAGTACTTCCGGTTTGAGTACAGAGTTTTGACAGCTTGACAGTTTGTTATGACACACCGAGAGCAAGAATGAGCGGATTTCGGGGTAAAGAAAAGCGATTGGCCTTCCAGCGGGTAAGAAAGTCGGCACTACATTGCTGTGTTCCCCTTTGGACAAATTCGTCCCGTTATCAAAATCAGAATACCTTTATTAGTCCCACAGAGGGGACATGTGCAGCGTTACAGCAGGAAAGAGCCACAGACAGCTTAGTGTTGAATATCTTACATGCGTTAAAAAGTACTAAGTTATAATATAATAAACAATATGCGTTAAAAAGTACTAAGTTATAATATAATAAACAATATGCTAAAAAAAAAGATAAGTTACATCATTTTCAAAAATACAGATAAAAAACAAATCAAATCTACAAATCAAATCCTGTAGCAGTTCTTAGGATTTAGCAGCCCGGTATATATTACAGTTATTAAAGATGGCATATGTATATAAAGTATATATTGCACAAGGGAGGCGTGTGGCGCAGTGGATAGAGCCTTGGTGTTGGGATCAGGGGGTCACAGGTTCAAACCCCACCGCATGTGGTTGTGTCCCTGAGACACTTCACCCCAAATTGCTCCTGTGGGGATTGTCCACAGTATTGAGTATGTAAGTCGCTTTGGATAAAAGCGTCTTAACAAGTGACATTTAATAATATTGCACATAGTTTGACGGTATTTAACAGCAGCAAGTTACACAATGTTATAATCGGGAGATAAGTTTCCATTCATTTCGGCAAGCCTGGGCAACAACGATTAAAAGATTTCTTGCTCCCAAACCAATTGTGTATTTCATTACAAAAAGCAGTTATACCATACTATGTTTAGGTACTAATGAATTATATCCTCAAAACAAACGCACACATAAATAACAAAGGAAAATACATAATTTAATAAATCCACAATATGATAACATTTTACAGATTAATTTAATAAACTTTTACAAAACATAGGTTGATGTTATATCGGGGGGAAAAATACATATTTAAACATTTCAATTAGTCTGCATATTTAAGTAATGCTAGTTTATATAACAGATGAACAGATGTACAATATCCAGAAAGTAGATGCAAAAAATACATATAATGTGTGCATTTCCAACATTTCCTCTGAAAGAGTGTTATATCAATGCAAGATAAGTTAGTTAGCCTCCACAACTTTTGTTAATGGATAACTATTGAGTAAGTTGAGTAGTGAGCCATTTTTTTTTTTTCGTGGTGCGATGTCTGCTGAGAAGTCCTTGTATGCCTCGCTGACTTTGAGGACATCTGGGTCTGGCAGCTCCCCCCGCACGGCCTTGTAACGTGTACTCCTTTGAACATGTTTATATGATAATTAGGACTTTAAGAACAATTTTACACTCAGACAACAATCACAAAGTTGTAGCAGGCTACATACAATTACTTAGGACAATAGATATGACCTTACACCGTCAGCAACTGTAAACTGCTTTGGCTTAGTGGAAATGAACACCATGTCATTTCCACTAAGCCAGGTTTCACACCCTATTAATTTCACAAAAGAATTGTCAAATTAATTGAAAAGGTCGTTGATGCAACATACTAAATCAGCTCTTGGCACAAAGGAAATACTCATTAAACCGTGGATTGGTTGTGAACACATACTGTACTTACCATGGTTCTTGGCTTGTGCCATCGCTGCTCTGTTTCAGTGCAGCTGAGGACAGGGGGTACAGCAGCCAGGTTGAGTGTGGAGTAGTGTGCGGTCTGGAACAGCAGTGCAACATTGTGGTTGCAGAGTGCTGTTCCAGCTACACAGGAACACTTTGCCACTGCAATCTCCACAGGTGAGCAGTTCTCAAAGACAATCTACACATTAAAACAAAATGTCAGTCATTTTACATTTAGGACACTGCTTCAATACAACACAGACAAATGAGAAAGCTGAGGGCAGGCTGATCAGTAATAGTAGGGTGTGGGAAAAGGCTAAACCATGTCAGGTTGTCAGTCACATCACATACACAGAAGTTCTGCTGTTTGGAATACTGTAATTTAAGGACATTCAAACAGATAAGCTTGTATAGCCTGTCTCAGCTCTCTCAATTTATTATCTTATATCTACATAAAATAGTGTCAGTAGAACATTGAACAGCTTAACATAGATGTAGGGTACAAAACCAGCACTTACCTAACACTGGCCAATACAAATAATTGGACCCTACATGGATCATACTAACCATTCAGTAAAGAACAGCAGCCGTCACAACCAGTTTCTGGGGTTTCCATGAAAGCATTAAGAATCTTTGATGAAAGCTAAGTTTGGGTTTAGCTAATGTATTTATCATTTTACACGAGAGGGTTACAAAACGAAAATAAATCTGTAGCCCCTTCATGCTACACACACATAGCTACTAGTTGATGTGAGCAAATTTATTATTTTCCTCCCTACTCTGAGATCGTGAGGCTTTTCATGCTTTCTCATGGACCTGTAACAGCTAGCCCTGATGCTCACTCTCCCTGAAGGTAGATCTTTGTTTGAAACTGTGGGGAATTGGTTATCATTCATGTTATCCAAAACACGTTATAGTACATCATTAAAACGCGTTACACTGTATCAAGACTGTGAAGTTGTCCAAGTTAGCCAGTAACTACAGCTTTGTTTGTCACGTACCTTCATAATTGTCGATGTAACTGGATATGTACACCTTGAACCTCTTTTGCTCCTCGGGGCTGAGCCTGCCGCTTGTACCAGCCGATGTACATCACTGATGTTAACCTTCGGTAGGTCTTGGCGACATCGAGTGTAAAATAGTGCCTATATAATATCTATACGCTATCTATCGCTCTTCACTCTACCGTAGACCGGAAGTTTACAAGCGCACACTCAATGAACCGGAAATACGTCATCCCGTGCAACTAGCCTTATGATGAGACTCCCGCAGGCATGGCGGCAGAGCGAAGCAATCGAAGGTCTGGGTGCACTTTAAAAATGTATTGGCGATAGTGCAAGGTGCAATCTATGTACTCAATTAGTTGCTTGTAAAGGGGGTAACACAAGCAACTTAATGAAGCATTTGACACTCATTGAATCTAAAACGGTGCTAGCGATACTGCTAGTGCAGGGGTCTGCAACCTTTTTGACCAAAAGAGCCATTTTGCTCCTTTTTCCCAAACATTTTTTTGTCTGGAGCCGCAAAACATATTTCATAGTTTTTTATTGTTATATCAGACAAAAACTACAGTTTTTTTGCATTTATTACATGATATAAAACTGTTAACCTCTAATAAGAAACAAAGAACTCTTATAAGGAGAATTTAAAATAATACACAGGCCTACTTTAAAATAAATTAAACACAGCACTTGGGGAGTCCTCTGCACATTTGAAGGGAAACAAAATATTATTAAAATGGGCCAACTTTGAAATAAATAAAACATATAGCTGCACCCTAAAAAGAGTTAAAGGTAGGGTAGGTAAGAATGGAGAAACCAGCTCGAGTGCGCTAGAATTTGAAAGTACACAACCGGAAAAAATATGCCTCTTCCTTCAGAGTTCCTTACAGAGTCCCTCCTCCAACACACACGAACGCGCACATGACCAATGAGGGCACGAGATAAATGTGTGCACAGATGGAAGGCTGACAGGCAGGTAGGCCATCCAGTTACTTTAGCCGGGCCGGCTCAGATGATTGGTCGTGCTTTTTACAGTGCTACGGCTTCCAGAGATTAATTTTTTTATGTATTTATTGTCAAAGCATTTAATATATAGAGCATATAACAAAAAGTGTTTTCTGAAATAAATTACATACCTCATTGAATTATGACTGAAGATCGTCAGCTGTCTTCCTCTCCCTTGTTGTTCAACAACTTCTCTCTACATATCAAACATACCGGTAAACCAGCATCGTTTGCTGTGAAAGCATATAACTGTCCACACAGAATTAAATCCTGTGTTCCTCCGGTACTTTTCTTTGATTTATCCATAGTTCGCTCATCGAGCCGGGGGTCAGGTTATTCGCCTCCAAGAAAAGGCGCTCGCGCGGGACCGTAGCAGGATGTGACGCATATTTTAGTTGACATAATTAAAACCATTTTGTTTTTTATTTATGTGTCACAGTATCACCTCAAAATACGAAACATTTTCAACCATGCAACAAAATATAAATAGTCCTACAAATACTTTTATTTTATTTCCTTCTTATTTTTGTCTAAGCTCAAGGGAGCCAGAGCAGAGGGCTTAAATGGCCGCGGGTTGCCGACCCCTGTGCTAGTGCTACTAGTGCTAGCGGGCTTCAGCCGCGCCGTGTGCAAATGTGACCTGAGCGAAGGCTTGCAGCTAGGTTGTCATATTGAAATGTCTGGATGAAGATGTAAATGATTTACAAATGTTTTAAAAAATGACTCTTTTCAACCTCTGTCTGAGGGAAAACCCCAAAAAGCATGATAGGGCGAGCCAGCCAGGCCCCTTTAAGCTATTTTATTTATTTGTGTCTGCTTCTGAGAAGCTAATGTATAAGTTATACAGTTATTTCTGCAAGAAAATTATAATACAATTACTGTTTAATATTCACATCTTGTATTCATGTCTATAATTTTGAGCACCAAATTATTGAAAAGTATCGAAAAATACCGATACCGATAAGCATTACCGGTATCGATAAAATCCTAACGATACCCATCCCGGCTCTTGTATGGCTTTCTTTATGTAGAACATTCTGCATATAAAGAATGTTCAAGTCTACACGCAGAGAAAAAAGTTCTTACATGAGGCCTTTTTCTAGTGCTTACACCCCGATTGATGAGTCGTCAATAAAGCAGTTTAGTGTTTACGGTCATTTGGCATGTGAATTTGTTTATTGGTTTATGTGAGTAGCATTTTTAATGGCAGTGTTTTGAAAAAGGCAAACAAGTGAATATGTCAGATTTCTGTGTCTTACTTAGAGAACTGTGTGCAGTGTTTTGCAAAAAGTGTCAAGATGAATAGCAAATTGGGTGCAGAGCTGAAAGTGTATTTAGAGTTTTGGAGATTTGAGCTCAGGTTTTGCTCTTTGAGTGTGAGATTAAATAATTGTGCTTTATGTGAGATTTTAATGTGTTAGCAACTGAGAAAAACTGTAAAGCATTAATAAAAATACACTTGGTAAACATGTTTTTCACCCCTTTATGATGCAGCATGAGGTGGATCGAAACCAGGATCTTCTGGGGCGATTAAAAAAGTTTCAGGAGAGAGAGACGGAGGCAGCTAAGAACCTGTCGGAGCAGGTGGAGGCCAACAGAGCTCTCCGTAAAAACATGGAGGGCCTGAACAGGAAACTGGAGGAACGAGACACTCGACTGAACACTGCGAATCAGGTACGCTCACACAAACCCGCACAATGCATCTATATTCTGGTCATGTCTCTTATTTTATGTCGGCTTACTTCTGTAATCTGTTCCCAGACCATCAGTTATTTGAAGGATGAGATCAGAGAGCTGACGCAAAGGATTCAAAACCAAGACTCGACAACTTCTTCTCAAACCCTGGAAAACCAGGAGCTGCAGGAACAGTTAGATTTACAACGCAGGTACACACACACACACACACACACACACACACACACACACACACACACCACACACACACACACACACACACACACACACACACACACACACACACACACACACACACACACACACACACACACACACATACACACACACACACACACACACTAAGACTACCAAATAGCTTAGCTTTGTTTCATGTACTGCATGAGATAATTGCTAACCTCACACTTGTATGTGCTTCGTATTTCAATCAGGAAGTATCAGGAAGTCTCTCAGCTTTGCCAAAGTCTCCAAGCTGCGCAGTCCTCCTGCTCAGAGCACATTGTCAAGATTAAGGTATGTGAGGCACGATCAGTACTGCAACCATTTCACGACTAGGGGTTAGTTAGTACAGATATTAAAGGCAGGAAATTCAGTTTTATCCCTTCAACTTCTTTGCTTTTCTTCTGCTTTAATTATATCTTACTAAATATATGGGTTTTGGATAAACTGCAAGGCAATGTTTTCACTATTTTCTGACATTATTTAGATCAGGGGTGGGGAACCTTTTTCCTCTCAAGGGCCATTTCAATTTTTTCAACATCCTCCGAGGGCCGTACAAATTATTGACCTCTGCTTAAAAATACTAAAATCACAGCCCATTCATTTCGCCTTTCTTTCATTCTGTGCAAAGAAAAAGCAACCCCTTAATCCAGATATTTTACCCTGACTCGCGCATGCATGCACGTGCACGGTTGTGGCATGACCACCAAAACAGAAAGATATGGACACAAGATGTGTGCAATTTAGTTTCCTATCCATGTGAATATGATTTAAGTGGGGGGGGGAAGTGAAAAGCATCAATCTGGTGCACTTTGAGAGCAACATTAAGAGATTAATGGATACATCTCTCAACACCCAGATGAAACAGAACTGGAAGCAGATTTCCTTTTTCTTTATGGATATTTTACAAATCACTCCCCTTTCAAACTGTATTCTTGTTTATTAATAACAACTTTTTTTTACTGTCATATAGTATTTTATACCTGTTTACTTTATTCTCTTATTTTTTGTATAACTATAATGATCATATAAAGATGTGCCTTTACCTCACTGGTTGTAGAAAAAGCTTCTTATATTCGTTAGCATAGCTAGCTAACCAGATGCTAATAACAACACAGTTATTGACTGTACGATCAGAATGACAGATGAACAGATCGCCACTGGGCTTACAACTAAAGACACAGCCACGCAAAAACTGCGGCATGTGTACGGCTCCTTATGGGTACTGACATTTGTGATGTCCCGGCCCGTTGCGGCGTTCTGGTGCTCTGCTCTCCGGCAGCTCGAAACCCCTGTCGGACGAGACATATACCAGGTGATGACACGTTAGGCTCGTGTTGTGTTCAAGGACCCTGACCTTGGCCAGGAAAAACAGGCACTCGCTTGTTTAATTCTTTTGCGGTCTAGATTTCTTTTTTTCTTTTTTTTTGCGTGAGTTACCTCGAGGGCCGTATCAAATTGTCTCGCGGGCCGTATACGGCCCGGGGGCCGGAGATTCCCCACCCCTAATTTAGATCATTATTGTGCAAGTAATCGGCCGAAATATAATCATAAATTGCAATCCCAGATGACAAAACTTTTGGCCAGTTTTTTTGTACTAAAGTTAGTAGACAAGCATGTGTAACATGAACAAATTGACATCACAAAATTCCCATGTACCTTATTCAAAACTGTACTGAAGGTGCTCACGGAAATATGCTAATGATAAACACTACATGTATAATTCACAAGCTGAAATAAAAGCATCAACTAACACTGGTAACACATTTTATTGCTTGTAGTTTTCAACCCTCATTTATAAGCCAATTCCATCAGAGTGCAAACACGCAGCTATTAACTCTGTTTGAACAAGAATGAGTGGCTGGATGAGGACAAGTCAAAGACAAACCAACACGATGCAGACAATCAGAAAGATGGGTAATGGGAGGATACTGTATACAGCAATAAGCTGTACAATGTATTTGTGTAAGCCAAATATGATTAGAAACTGTAAGACAGTCTACTCACTCCGCTTATCATTTGAGTGGTTGGACATGTTTGTTGTTTTAACATTCTCCATTCATTAAATGCCTAAAAAGGCTGGAGTTTTGTTTAAAGGTCACCTACTATGCAAAATCCACTTGTTCATGTCTCTTCTACATCAACATGTGTCCCCTCTGTGGAAAGAGACTCTGAAAGTTTCAGGAAAAAAGATTCTCTCTCTTTTTGATCCATTTCTATAAAAACCTGTCTGAAAATGAGCTGATCAGATTTTGGCCACTTTATGATGTCATAATGATTTGTTGGCTTGTGTAACCATTAGCCAATCACCAACCAAGGTAACCCCCCCCCCACCTTATCGTATTTCTTTAGGCTAATTTCTCTGCCCGTGTTCTTGCAGGAGTTGGAGCGGCGCCTGGCGCTGCAGGAGCAGGACATCGCCATCGTGAAGACAGTGAAGTCAGCTGTGGCCAAAGTTCCAGACCTGGAAAAGGATTTGAAGCGCCTCAGAGAGGATAATGCCTTCCTCAGGTCAAATTGTGTTTCAAGTTTTTAATGCGTTTTGAAAAGGTCTCGCCTTTCAAAAGAATAGGCTGGTTTTATCTGTATAGAATACAGCCTAGTGCTAAAATGTTTTGCTTCAAAACTTTTGACATTTCAGTGTGGCTATAGGTCACCATACCACACTACACTTTCTGTGATGGGTGACTTTTGAAGAAGGGAGGTGGCAGAAAAGTAAATACCTGAAGAGAAATGTTAACCTCGCCAAGAATATGCAGAAAACCCAATTCTGTGTGTTTCCATAGACGTGATTTTTCACCAGTGCCAGTATTCTGATTAAATACATTATAACAGTTTCACTTCTCAAGATAACTGATAAAAGAATGTTGGTTACACATTTCTGCTGAAGATGGTTTTTTGGTAGTCAAATGTTCATGGACAAGAAGAGTAATGGGTTAAGTAATATCACGTTGGAAAGTCTTTCTCTGATATAACATAACTGACATTATTGATAACATCTAGTGCAGGGGTGTCAAAATCAATTTCATCGCGGGCCACATTAGAATTATGGTTGCACTCAAAGGGCCGGTGGTAACTTTAAGACTATATAAATATACATAGATAAATATATATAAAATAATGTATTATTTTACAATATTTCCTCTGCATTGGATTATTATCGGCTATATATATTATATCGGCTCTTTTCCACATCGGACACCAAGACTGGTAGTTAGAAGTTAATATTGAGTTTTGTGCGCAGGGAGAGCAGAGAGAACTGCAGCCTGCTGAAGGAGGAGGTGGAGGGGCTGAGGAGGAAGCTGGAGAGGATGGAGAAGAAGAAGGAGGAGCTGGTCAATATCGAACTGGAGAAGGAGGTAAACTCACTTTGTATTTGGCATTTCTCCTTCTAGCATTTCATTTTCATATTACACTATTCTAAACATGGAATTAAAACATTACTAGCTGAGTAATTGGACTGGATAGCTCACCTGGTAGAACTCCATGTACTGGGGATTGATTCAACCTGGGGACCATTTATGCGGTGCATTCCTTACTCTCGAAAAAATCGTTTTAAACAATACATGGGCAATACAGATTTCATTTTTTTAAATGTGTTGAATAAACAATATTATTATGTGATGGATAACTCTTTTGCATATTTTTTTGTACTTTTGGTTTAATTTAAAGACATTTTGTTTTAATATTTTTAAATTTTACGTCAATTCCTTTTTACATTTTAATGTAGTTATGTTGTTTATACGTGGTATATCTTTATTTTTATCTTGCATTTGTCAGCTGTCCTTGTAAAGATATAATTTACTTTCTTTTACTGGACATACATGTGATCCATTCTGTCTTTAATCCTCAGAGGTTAGCAGAGAAGCTCAAAGCCTGGGAAAACCTCGGACAATCTACTGGACTCAACATAAGGTGTGTGTGTGTGTGTGTGTGTGTGTGTGTGTGTGTGTGTGTGTCACTATATTCAAGTTTAATCACTATAATATAAATAGATACCACTAGATGGAGCTACGGTCCCTCCAAATAAATGTGCCTCATCACTGTGGATTCATTCCACCAGTGTGTATAGGTGTGTGTTTGTTTTATACCTGCTTGTGTATGTGTGCAGAGTGTCTCAATGTATCCAGTCACAACTAGTAATGAGAGAATGATTGCATGTTTCCTTGTGAGCAGTAGAGCACATCTGACAGATTATCACACACACACACACACACACACACACACACACACACACACACACACACACACACACCATTTTCTCTTTGATTAACTCAGGCTGTGATGTAAACAGAATGTTGAATAGGATACATGCACTTAGCATACTGGGTTGGTTTTCTACTGTGTGTTAGAGTGCGTCTACATGCACATTAAACAGGCTGCAGGATTTAGACCAAACGACTCATTGCGATTGATTCGAATGATTTTGCATCTGCGTTAATGGAAGGTTTGTCATCTATGAATCATACATTCTTATTGTCATTACATTACATTACATTATTACATTACATGTCACTTGTTAGACGCTTTTATCCAAAGCGACTTCCATACTCAATACTGTGGGCAATCCCCACAGGAGCAATTTGGGGTGAAGTGTCTTGCCCAGGGACACAACGACGTGCTGACTGCAGTGGAGTTCGAACCTGTGACCCCCTGATCCGAACACCAAGGCTCTATCCACTGCGCCACACGCCTCATTAGAAAATAGATTACAAATAATGATGATGTACCTAACGTATGTTTTGTTAAAGTCTGTAGTATACAATTTGTTAGCCAGGCTATATCTCTGCGGCTGCACAATAGGGATGGGAATTTGAAAGCAAATGTATATTCGAATATTCGACCCCCCAAAAAACGGTTATGTACATATCCTATAAAAAAAAAGTGACATTTTTTTAAAATAATTTTTGGAAATAAATACATACATGTTCAAATAAGTGTAGAAACCAAGTCGAATTTGTAAAATGTATTGAACTGGTGATCACAGTTTGACAGCTATAGGCCTTCTTTCATGTGCTGAGGCGATTCACAATCAGCCCAGCTGTAGAGAAGACCCTCTCAGCTGGAACGGAGGTTGCGGGTATAGCAAGGTATAGCATGTATATATAAGTTTAATTTGCCATAGTTTGACCTCTACACCGCACTCACTAACTTGGTCGAAATATGTCCACACATTACTCCTTTTTGACGCCATGTCTGTTGTGTAGGACTCTTCTTGGAGTGTAAATAATTACCGGACTATGACTAAATCTCTCCTGTCAAAATGTCTATGTACTTTGCCGCCACACACGGTTGCCAAGCAGCGCTTATTGTTGTTTAGGCTGGCCACTCATGTGTCGCGAGTGTTGACAGGGGGCGGGGGAGCACGCTCATGAACTGTTAGCGCCGGAACCTCGCAACGGCTGCGGAGCGCATTTGCGCCACATTTGGGCATAAGATGAGGTTTGAGTCTGCGTGGTCTGCGAGTAGGGAGGGGCAGCAGCCATATCATTGGCTAGCACTAGCTAGATCTGATGGATTTGGACATAAACACGAGTGAAGTATAACCGGACACGAGAGAGAGAGATCAGCACCTGCAGCTCTGCCCGCTGTGAGGGACCGGTGAGCGGAGCAAAACACACCTTTAGATGTCAACTAACACATTTAGCTATGGCACTGTCGTATATATATATATATATATATATATATATATACATTGAATTATTCAATTTGATAATATGTAATCAACTTAGGCATCCCTCTCAACAAAAAAAAATAAATTAATTAATTAATACAAATATTCATAACTCATATTCGAATACATGAATAATTTCGAATATTCGATTAATCGTTCCCATCCCTACTGCACAATACATTCAAAATGTTATTTAAACACAAAGCGCAACTTTTATTGTGCTTCCAGTGATTTAGATATTGGAAAGTCCATATTGCGATTTCAATAACATCCAGGGCAGGAAAACAAATGTGAAAAATAAATAAAATGAAATGAAGTCTTCCCTCATGTAAGGTTTCATGTTTGTCTTATGCAATGGGATATAGGACATGGTGCATTAGGCACATCCCACTCATATTTATTAAATGACCTTGTTTGATCACAGCAATATAATACCAAACTCTCAGTTTAATACACACAGTCATTTGGTTGGACTGTCAGTCATTTCTCTGAAAATCTGAGGCTCTCTCCCTGGTAAATTGAGTTGAAAATGTGAAACCCTCCTCAAAAAAAATCAGGTGTTCAGACTGCTGTGTCATTGGCTGCCTAAGTGCTTCTGCTGAAAGTAGACCCCCCAAATAAACTGCGCTGCACATCAATTCAATTCAAAACCTTTATTTATCCAGGTAAAATCCCATTGAGATCAATGATCTCTTTTTCAAGGGAGACCTGCAGCAGTAGCTTCCACAAGAAGACATAAAGACATAAACAACAGAACAACAAAAGGACATCATACAGCAAAATGTACAGGGATTACAATTTACATATTTAATCACATGTACAGGTACCAGCATCTGATTTTGTAGCATCCAACCGAGCTTTAAAAACATGTAGTGGTACTAGCTTGGTAATTTTCCATTCTTTTTGCAGACTGTTCCATGTTAGTGGAGCTGCATATCTAAAAGCTTTCTTCCCTAAGACAGTCCTAGCACTTGGCACATTTAATAAAACCACAGCATGCGATCTCAGGCAATAAGTACTTTCAATTCACAGAGAGATCAGGGAGCAGATATAAGGTGGTAGTTTATCCAACATGGCTTTGTAAATGAAAAAGTACCAGTGACTGAGCCTCCGTACAGTAAGTGATGGCATAACCGCCTTGGTACACAGGGTACAGTGATGCGTAAGTGCTTTACAATTTGTCAAAAATCTCAGTGCACTGTGATACGCAGCATAAAGCATCGAGCTTCTAAAGGGCAGCCATATGTCTGAGCCTCATGCTGATCAAAAGTAAAGGTTAATGCAGCTTGCAAATCAACAGTTAGTAACTCCTTCAAGCTGTTTTACCGTTTACTAAATGGCCGACTTAATTGTCAGGATGTTGTTTTTCCAGCGCAGTCCTGTGATGTCGAGGAGAATGGAAAACAGGAACGTTTTATTCAGCAGTCTGTTTACTTCACCCGCGCCGACTGAAAACGAGTATTGACTCTGATTTGTGCATTAGTGGCATATTGTGCCCTATAGGCTGCTAGGCAGTCATTATATCATGTGTTATGTTCATTTATGTAAATATCTTAGGTACGTCAAATTTGACTCGTTTCTACACGTTTTTATGTTGGAATAAGGAGCTGTTTCATCTAATTGCTGGAAAATAACATGGATGGTTTCATTTTCCAAGGTATTACATTTTGTAGCTTGTTTTCAATAAGTATATAAATGGTCCAAAGAGGTCGTATTCTACAGTCTGCCTGAATGTAATCATTGCGTAGGTGTGTAGTGTGATTCTGTGTAGTTTATTTCTGGCATCCCGTTGGATTTGACGTCATCTGAACAGGACATCGCACGCTCACTGCTTGATAGCGCGCAAAGGTCCGTTTACGCCGGTTGTTAAACAACATCGTTATGCGGAAATGCAACTTGCGTCCAAATGGTTGGAAGATAAGGAGGAAGGACAATCAATACTGTATATAGTAAATGTGAGGTAAAGTGTGTCGCCAATGTAACCGGTTAGAACTGGAAGTGGCGATGAGGTCTTAAAATGTAAGGAAAGTGTCTTAAAACAGGTCTTAAAAGGTCTTACATGTGACTTCAGGATTCCTGCATAGACCCTGTAGAGGTAAAAATGATTAGTGGAGTGAAAAGAGTGTGTTGTGGAGCAGCTAATGAGAAGTAAACCCATTGGTGTTGTAAATGAGGAATTAGCCCACTGCAATACAGGATTTCATTTCTTACCAGCCATTTGTGCAGTTTCAGTTAACTTTTGAGCCGAAGATAACCCTTGCCAACAACGATGCCTGTGTCTCTGGTGGAGGAGACGAGCCTCACAGACAGTCGCCAGCAGTTGGCAGGTTGCTGCTGTTTCACAATCTGATGACTTGTGCCTGCTTATGTGTTGACAATTGAGTGTAAGATTGACAGGAAAATATGTTGCATGGAACAGCATCGATGATCACCATGGAAATAAATGATTTGGTTTTCCAGAAATCTATTTAGTTTCAGACGGTTTGGTGTATTTGTGTCAATAACAAAGACATAGATTAGAAATTCAGTTTGAGTTGTTTGTGTTTGTGAATCTAACTAATGTGTGTGTTTGTGAGCCTACCCACCTTCATTATCAGTTTCCCACATAATGGATTCTGTCTTATCTTTTTTTTTTTTATCTCCTAACCTACTCCCAAATTCCTCAATTAAAAACGTTGTCTTTCATTTAGCCGAAAACATCGGATTTTTGTCAGAGTTTAGCACAATTTGGCATGCTACTAAAAGATCAATCAGTTTGAGTTTCTGTTTGAGGTTATTTATTTCCCCTAACACATCCATCCATCCATCCATCTTCTCCCGCTTATCCGTGGTCGGGTCGCGGGGATAGCAGTTCCAGCAGAGAGCCCCAAACTTTCTTTTCCCTGGCCACATCAACCAGCTCTGACTGGGGGATCCCAAGGCGCTCCCAGGCCAGCGAAGAGATATAATCCCTCCACCTGGTCCTAGGTCTACCCCTTGGTCTCTTCCCAGCTGGACGTGCCTGGAACACCTCCCTAGGGAGGCGCCCAGGTGGCATCCTAACTAGGTGCCCGAACCACCTCAACTGGCTCCTTTCGACGCGAAGGAGGAGCGGCTCAACTCCGAGTCCCTCCCTGATGACCGGACTTCTCACCTTATCCCTAAGGGAGACACCAGCCACCCTGTGGAGAAAACCCATCTCGGCCGCTTGTATCCGCGATCTCGTTTTTTCGGTCATGACCCATCCTTCATGACCATAGGTGAGGGTAGGAACGAAAATGGCCCGGTAGACAGAGAGCTTTGCCTTCTGGCTCAGCTCCCTTTTCGTCACAACGGTGCGGTAAAGCGACTGCAGTACCGCTCCCGCTGCTCCGATTCTCCGGCCCATCTCACGCTCCATTGTTCCCTCACTCGAGAACAAGACCCCGAGATACTTGAACTCCTTCACTTGGGGTAAGGACTCATTCCCTACTTGAAGTGGACAGTCCATCGGTTTCCTGCTGAGAACCATGGCCTCAGATTTGGAAGTGCTGATCCTCATCCCAGCCGCTTCACACTCGGTTGCGAACCGATCCAGTGAGTGCTGAAGGTCGCAGACCGATGAAGCCATTAGAACCACATCATCTGCAAAAAGCAGTGGTGCAATCCTTAGTCCACCGAACTGCAGACCCCCTCCCCCATGACTACGCCTCGAAATCCGATCCATGTATATTACAAACAGGATTGGTGACAAAGCGCAGCCCTGGCGGAGGCCAACCCTCACCGGAAATGGGTCCGACTTACTGCCGAGGACCCGGACACAGCTCTCGCTTTGGGAGTACAGAGATTGTTTGAGGTTATTTATTTCCCCTAACACAATAAAGCATTATTTTTGCAGCAATTTTGATAATAAAATACTCAATAACGTTATTTTTTAAGCAGAAAGGCCGAACAAAACTGATGCCAACTTCTAAAATGAGAGGCATAAATCTTCATTATAAACTGAATATTTGACTTTTAAACCAAATTATTTGCTTTTCAAGTGTTTGGGGAGATACAAAACAATTTTGAACAGACAATGGGGGGACACGGTGGTTTATTGGTTAGCATAGTTGCAAACACATGCAGGTTCATTGTTGAATCTAAATGACTTGTCGTAGGTGTGATGTGAGCCTGAAATCGTTTTGGGATTTTCTTCTGTGCTGTGATGAACTGGCAATAATAGATCAATGAGTCAATCAAATTCAATTTAAAATCAAAACCAGTAATAAATAAGGACAATTATAATTAGATACATTCCTGTACAGGTAATGTGCTGAGCAGAGTTTAATTGTCTGAATAACATTTTGTGAAAACATTGCTGCTCAGATCTCTTTGTATGGTACTTATTTAAATAACTGTTCACATTCTTAGTTGCCTTTTTCCCCAACTACGCTGATCCAAGTGTCGTCTGATGGATTTTGGAGTTGTGAATCTATAACTATTTTACAGTGTAAGGTGAGGATCACTTGTGGATGGCTTTAAATTTGAATCTCAAAATGTTATTCCATCTTCTCCGGAGATTTGGATGTCATCATTGCAGCGGCTTCTCTTACCCCCAATTATTTAGAAAACTTAATATTTTTGTAGGTCTAGAATCACTTCCTACAGAAATGTGTGCTCAAACCTAGACTCCCAGTTGACTTGCACTGCTCTGACAGTGCATTTACTCACAGTTACCTCATAGTAGTTCACAACATCTGACTCAATAATATAATTATAATAAATTATATTTCTATAGCGCTTTTCTTGAACCCAAAGACGCTTAATATGCAACCAACCTGTTATTTGCGACATGGCCCGCTTGTGACCTGCCACACAAATTCCCAAAAAGCCAGCAGAACACTTTAAAAAAGCTTTTCTCATGAGATCAGGGGAAACTAATCCCTCTCTGCTCAGGGCAGTGTGGAATTACCTACTTTGGGCACCGTAGTTATTCCATCAAATGATTCATGAACTCATATTTTAGTCATGAGATTATTTTCATACCTAAGGCTCCACCTTGTGGAATTGGATGTGGTCATAAATCCACGCCACCCAACTTTCACATTGCATACTCTGGTTTTTCAGCTTTAATAATAACTCCCGCCTTTTCCTCCCATAAATATATATACACTAAATACCGCGTTTCCAGGTCTCAGGCTGTTACCGAGTGTACAGAGTAAAACCTAAAGTTTGACGACAGGCTTGATTTTGGTTGTTTGGTTGTTATGCTAATGTTCAGGTTCATGTTTGTATTGTGTGTCTCTACTGTGACATGTTCACAACCAGAGCCCAGTCTGCTCTGATTGGTCAGCTGGCCGACTCTGTTGTGATTGATCAACCGCTTAGAGATGTAGAGCGCTAGCCAATACAAGGGCGTTTGTTAAATATTGATGTTATGGAAGTAAACAAAGGAGTCCACTAGAGGGGATTTAGGCAGGGAGGGAGTGTGTGTGAGAAACTCCCTCTGGAGGGAACAATAGGCGCGTTCACACCGCAGTACTTTTCCCACTTTAGTTCCGATATAGTTCCGAAATGTTGCGTTCACACCAAAAAGAGCCGGAACTAAAATTAGTTCATGAGAACCTTTTCACCCCCTTTTCCGTCCCTGCTAGAGAGCAGGGACTTTCGTGGGAGAAAAAGGTTCCTATGTCTCATTGGCTGGGCGGATTGCAAACCACGCCCCGTAAAACTCCCAAAAAGTTTTGTGAAGCCGCCATTTTATTATCCTCGCATTAGCATTAGCATTAGCCTAGCGCAGAAACGCAGAGAGACTAACTTATGGCAACACAAAATAAAACATGGGAGCGGTGGAGATGAGGAGGTGTCGGCGTTCTGGCGATTTACTCGGAAGTAACTCCGGGGACTCCCGGCCAGGGACTTCGGGTGGCAGTATACGCCGTGAAGTTGTTTGCGGCCTGCCAGTAAACCCAAAGCAGAAGAAGAAGAAGAAGTGACGTCAGCGGCTTCATTTGCCTAATCCTCCCCCAGGGACTTATTCCGGTGTGAACGCGATCTGTACTTAGTTCATGAGAACTAAAGAGTTCTGATGAACCTTTGTGGGAAAGCACCTAACAAGATTTTAGTCTTTGCAGACCATTGACATGCACAAAAACCTATATAACACACTACAGCAAAGGGAAAATACCAAAAAGCATATACAAGTGTCCCTTTTACTAGCAGGATTACAACGTTAAAATCCAGTTTAAAACAAATAACAATATATTTAACCACATTCGCTTATCACAACACTTCACAAGTCTCAAAATATCAAGTACATTTTCAAGTAAAACCATAATCATCCAGTTGATCATTTGGACTTAGTTCAGAGTTTACTTTCTCTATGTGGAAAAGTAGCTGTTTTTAAAAAGAGACAAGGGAAATACATGTCTCTTTAGTGCAAGCAGCACATTTTACAAGTACTTGTTCATTGTAACGGAATACATTTTGAAAGTAACCTTCCCATCCCGGCTTCAACCCTTACGAACGCCCCATCTCATGAGGCACTGAATATTAAGCTGGAACACTTTTTTACAGGTGTGCAATTGAGTGGCGGCTAAAGTACGATTCTGAGCTAAGCTGCTATAATGCATGCCCATTTCACAAGAGATAAAGAGATAATGGCCTTCACTTTTTGCACAGATCCATAGTTAGAGCCAGGATTTAGAGTTTGAAGGTCATCTCTGTTGCAGGATGTGACCTTCTGCATTGTTGAGTTCCCATTGTGTGTTTGTGTTTTCTAATCTGTCAATCTCTCCCACGGAGTGAGTTTGTTTTGTGGAAGTGTGACCAGTATTTAGCCCACTCTCATCTCTCCCTCTGCTGCTCATGTCCTTTTATTTCCCAGCTCCCCACTGGCTGAGTAACAAAAGAATATGGAAACGCTGTCGTTATCATCCATTCTGTCCTTTCTGCTCGGTCACATTGATTTGTCATTGTGAGTGTGTGTGTACACATGTGTATGATAACGTTCCTGTCTGTGTCTGTTTGTAGGAAACCAGAGGATCTGTCCAGGGAGGTGATTCACATCCAGCAGAGAGAAATTGCTCTGAAAGAGCAGAACTACACTCTCAGCAGCCGGTAACACACCCTCCTTCACACACACTCACAAAATCCCTCTCCCTGCCTTCAGACTTTTTCCTCTCATTTCATCTGCCTGAATTCTTCCCTTCCCCCATGTATCTATTAGAGCGTATCTCTGAGAAGTCCTTAATTGTCACAAAGTTAATTAAACCGGTCCTGATTCTGATAGCACTCCTGACAGTAACCACTGGTGTGTGAGTGTGTGTGTGTGAGAGAGATTGTGTGAGAGAGAGAGGGAGTTTGCTAATTAAACTCGTCCTGTTTAGGCAGAGGTGATGTCTGTGGGGAGGGCCGCGCGCATGCTCCCGTATATATTGATGCAGCAGTTCGGCTAAGAAAGCTTTCATTAGCTAACAAGCGTCCCTCTTCTGCCGAGTGTGTTGGGATTATTATGTAATATTAGAAACGGCAGAGTGGGAGGGGATGAGGGGGAGCTTATGCTATAATTATTGTCCTGGTATAATTATTGCCCTATTGATCAGACTTGGCACAAGTTGCTGCTGCAAATGATTTCCAGGACAGTCAGGGAATTATTTGTAAGTTATCTGTTAGGAGTATTATTCTAAATTGCCTCAGAATTGATTTCCCCAGATTGTGGGAACATCAGCACTAAATATGTTATTAACCCACACACACTCTTTTGCTCTCCACCCTTTCATTTCTCCCGGTCCATCAGTGTGAGGAGTGCAGAGCGCTCGCAGAATGAGCATCGCGCCGAGCTGTGCCTGCAGCGCAGCAAGACTCTGGAGGAGCAGAAGAAGAGGGAGACGCAGGACAGTCTCGTCCGGAGACTCCAGAAGAGAGTCCTGTTGTTAACCAAGGTGACAAAGACACACAACAACACACAGACACATTGGCAGGAATTCAAACATTCACTCTGCAATATATCAATATTATGTTGATATCGTAACTATGAAACTAAATATCGTCTTGGATTCAGGTAGTGTAGTTGTCTTCCAATCTGAAAGTTGTGTGTTTGATGCCAGTCAACATGTTGATGTGTCCTTGGGCGAGATACTTGACCCCAAGTTGCCCCCGATAGCAAACGGTGTGTTAATGTTAGCTTCCTTGAGCAGATGCACCTTGTATTGCAGCCCCTGCCTTTGTATGAATGGGTGAATGATGACTTGTGTATCAATCAAAATACGTTATAATCCCAGGGGGAAATTAGATTTTGTGTCAGTCTGTATAAACTGTTAAGCCCCCGAGACAAATATAAAATGTGTGACATTGGGCTATATATATATAAACAATACTTCAATTGATTGACAGTTGCACCATATTAAAATAAAAATAAATCCATATTTATATCATCAGAAATTGAAGTTAAAGCAATCAATCCCCAGCTGACCATCTGCACATGTTCTGGACTTGCCCGAGGTTGGACACATTTTGGTCTGACACATTTTGAACCATTGAGCGGGCCTTTAACACAAAGATAGACCCTAATCCTATGACTGCACTGTTCGGCCTTCCTCCATCTGAGAATATGCCCATTACTGTGTCATTGCCTTCACCACTCTATTAGCTAGACGCTCTATTCTCTTCAAATGGATACATGCTTCCCCACCAACACATGATCAGTGGATACGTGATGTCTTGCAATGCCTTCAGATGGAGAAGTTAAGATTCTCATTAAAAGGATCTCTGAAATCCTTCCATACTACCTGGGACCCACTATTAGGCCTTATCAAAGAACTCTCTATCACTTCTGACGCTGAGTCGCAGGTAGCTCTCTGAAAGGAAATAAATAAAATAAAAGTGACCATTCATATTACTGCTCTTCCGCCATGACCCTTTGTCTTTTGCCCTAGACTACTCATCTATATTTAGACCCTCCAGAAAAACGCGGGCAAAAATTCTTGATTATGCGATCAAACATGCGGGTTTATGTGATATTATGCGGTGAAATTGCTAAATATGCGGAAAGTTGCGAAATATGCTAAATATGCGGAAAAAATAAATATTGGGGTCTTATTTATTTATTTATTTATTCTCTCTCACACACAACCTGCCACGAACGTTAAACCCCTTTACTATTCAATTAAACACATTCAATGTTTATTTATTGTAAAAGAAATTGGGCTATTTTAATCACACTCTCTCTCTCTCTCTCACACACACACACACACACACATACACACACACACACACACACACACACACACACACACACACACACACACACACACACACACACACACTTCTCCGCCTCATTCTGTTTTCATTTACTCGTTCGTTAACGTGAGTTGTTTGGCTTTCTTGTCCGCAGCAGCAGAAAGCATTTTCGAATCTTTGAATGAATCAAAGTGGGTCGTCACCGTCGATGTTCTCTTATGCTCCAACACACAGTTGCACGGGGTGCAGAATAGTTTACCCCCACTTTCGTGCAAGACATCGGGGTACTGCTTTGCCCGGAAAAAGGTGTAAAGTGCTTTGAGACTGGATAAAGCACTATATAAATGCAGTCCATTTAGCATATTGTAATATTTTTAGTGACCTTTCCTGGTTTTAAAGGCTGCATTAGAGGAAAGTGCTGCATGTTCTGAACTTATCAAGCTGTTTTCATATTGGTCTCCACCCCCTTAACAGTATTGACACAACAGTATTGTGGAGCTGAAGATATATCAAGGCCTACAAATCTTATTCTACGTAACAAAACATGTTTCTTGGTACAGAGCCTCTTAAAAATATCACATCATGGTAATTTTAATATATTTATAAATGAATAGGAGAATAATACTGCAAACATGATCAATCCCTGCTTGTAATTACAATATCAGTCAAGATATCAGAATTGGTTTTAATTTTCTAATTTGCAGCCCTATTACCTATCAAACAATACATTGTGTACTAGGGCTGTCCCGAATACCATTTTTCGGGCTCCGGATATTCGGTAGTAATCATCAGAGAACCGCTTCAACACGTGTATTTCGGTGTATTCACGGCATTCATTTTGTTATTCTACAGTATTGTTGTTTTATAGTTATTTGTTAATGTAACCCAATTTGTGTTCTTTGAAATTGAAAAGGATATCGCATTGTGTTTGTTACTTTCGTTGCAGTTGTATATATGTCTTAAGTGTAATTTGGCTTGGCTTCCTATTTATGGACATGCTTTTATTTTGAAGGAGAGATAGCGCTGTTGACAGGAAGTTGTTGTTGCTATGGAAACAACGTGACGGAGATTAACGGAGAAAAGTCATATCTACATATAAAGACGGAGAAAGTAAACGATAATGTTTATGGTTAAGTGTTGGCACCCCCGAAGAGGCACAAGCTCTTACGTTGATATTGGAGATTTTAATAAATTCAATTTGAAAGAAAAACGGGGAAAAAACTAACAAAAGGAATATCCGAATAACGAATTTGAAACCCGAATAGAACTCCAACGAACAAATATTCGGGTACAGCCCTATTGTGTACATATTTTGTATATTGAGATCAAAGTACTTGATCAGAAACATCATGATATTTGATTTTCCCAATATTGCCCAGCTCTAAATCGAATACTCTTGACACAGACTTTCCACCTAACAGAATTTAACTTTATTACTTTGGCGACACATCACAAGTCCAGCTCAGAATTATTCGAATCTTTACCCCTCTCTCTCTGCCTCTGATTGGTCCGTGGAAGTCATGTGACTCGTCTGTCTCACTTCCACCTGCTCTTCAGTTCCTGACTAGACCTCCCTGCGATATTGATTTCTCAGTGTGTAATTCCCTAGGTCAACAGGATCAGTCCCCAGTACACAAATCACACACATCCACTCTCAGCACCGTCATAACTAAGCAGAGCTACAGGCATGCTGGAAATACGACTGAGCGCTAGACTGATTTAGCAGACAAGCATTTGCACCCAGTATTCAGAGAATATGAATTATCGTTGTTTACCATCCCGTCCTGATGGATACAAAAACAAAAACATTGCAGTATGTGCTGAATACTGGGCTTTTTAGAACTTTCACTATTTCGTTTTTTCAGTATTTGCTGACATTTCTAGTCACCTTTTTCATACCCGATGAGTTTGCATCCCTGTATGTATTAAAAACACACCCATGCATGTAGTGGAAATGGTTGGACTGCAAAAATAACTGTTTCTTTTAAGATTATAACATAAGAGACCCGTAGCAATCATTACTTTGGCTGAAATTAATCTTTTAGTGCGTGTTGTGATGATTTAATTTTCTAGATGTAGACATTTCATTTACCATGCAAGAGCAAAACATTTAATTAACTTGATAAATTGCCTTGCCAAGAAAAGTGGAAGAAAGCAGAGATTAAAAAAGTTAATACTTTAACTAAAACAATGTTGTCTAAGCACACATTAATCAACTTACTCTTTGATATAATAATAATAATAATAATAATAATAATACATCTTATTTATTTTACATGTAATGAATTGTATTTGTAAAGCGCTTTTTAAATAGCAACAACACACCTACATTTATTAATGATTTCTGTAGATCTCCATACTGATCTCCAGTTCTCTCTTAATGTATTCACATAACATCAAATGAATGATAAGTGTCTCACACTCTGGCAGCAGGTTAAAGAAGTGAAAAACAGAACAAATATTATCCTTTCCTCTCTTTCTATAAGGCAACATCTCCGTTATGCTACTGCTACAGATGTTTTGTTCTCTTAAACTTTAGTGGGACAGACTCTCTGAGGCATTAGAGGCACAGTCACATCTTCACGCACCAGATAAAACAATTGACATAAAAGCAATTTAAAAGAATAGATGATGAAAACGGTAATGATTGTTTTATCACGCCGTACGCCCTCTCCCTCTTTTGTTTGAGTTTTTTTATCGTAGAAGAGGCCACAGATTTTTGATTTAGATTGAGTGAATTTCATTGCACGTTAATGGACTGTAAATAGCCAACGGGCCTGCTGGGTAGGATTGGCAGAGTACACACATACACACTGACCTCTAAATGTGTTCTTTGTATTTACTTCTGGTCCTTCTGTTTTCTCACAGCAGTGTAACGTTGCATGACAAATGATGCTGCTTGGGCGCCAAAACAAATAAAGTTGAATTAAGTATGATTTCACATTTAGTGTTTTTAAATGAACCAGAGTCAGTCATCTTTAAATGGATTATGTGGGTTTGGATGCTGCTAATCACAGGCTGAATCTGATGAGGGTAATCATGCTTTGTTTTCACAGACTAGCCTAACTGAGCTAATCTGACAGAGCAATTGCAGTCCATTATTCATAGATGTTTACACCCTGGAATTACAAGGTGCTTTTAGGACATTTAAATAAGACGGCACTACATGGCAATCAACATATAGTGCACGCCGTTATCTCAAATGCTATTTACTGCGGGTATTTAATACCTGACTTCAACCTGGATTTCACACGCTTCCCTAAATTAGCCCCGTTAATAAAAGACTATTAAGCCTTCATTCAACCTCAACATTCACGAGGGTCCTGAGCAGCAAAGGCTGTTTGTGAGATGTTTATTAAAAGCCTGATTGTCATAAAATGAAGCCTGCTTGGCTTTATAATGCAGATCAGAGCGGCGCAGTGAAGGGAGGCGAGGACAGTGAATTTGCATTAATAAACGGGCTGTTTGCCAAGTTTTAAACAGATTAGATTGTTCTCACTCATCATGTTGCCTGGCAACAGATGTACTATGTAACATATTGATTCATTGTAGTTATCATTCATTAAAGGTAGGGTAGGTAAGAATGGAGAAACGGTGGGTTACATATTGTAACCCTGGTTATATAAGCACTAGGGCTGTACCCGAATATTCGAATATTCGTTCGTTGGCCAACTATTCGGGTTTCAATTTCATTATTCGGATA